GGGGGGGTGAGAGTGGTGACGTCACCACGTCCATGACGCAGCAGCAGACAACTTGAACAGCTCGGACATTGTATGCGCCTTTTGTGTTTGGCGCCGTCTCTCTATTTGTTTATTAATTTGTAGATTTAATTTGCTTGGCAGTGGCTGTGTAGAGGATTTGGTCCTCGTGTTTAATGAACGGCGTTGCGGGATGCAGTGAGCACGAATGACGCTGTACACAACTACATTGTTGTTTGTATTCTGTATTTTTATTGTAGAATCGATGATACAAGCGTTACATTGCAACAGTCATACGTGGACATTTATACTTTTAAAAATTCAATAATATTATTGTCATGACGTAAAGATTTTCTTGACTGATGACGGCCGCGTGTGTTGCGATCAAAACGTCATGATATTATGGTTTCACATTTTACATTTTTATTTAATGTTTATTATTACATTTTTAATATTTTTCTTATTTTTTCTTTTTTCTATCTACGTGACTTTACCGAAAGAACATAGAAAATATAATATTATTGTTGTTGTGTTTCTCTCACAACCCATGACACCACCAGTGTATAAACGCATCCTAGTTCAACATTGCTAATCACGGCACCCTACACTCCAGTCACACTCCTCTGGCAGGGTGAATACATCCACGCTGGCTTCACACACACACAGAGCGGTACTTATTTTATCACCCCCCCCCCCCCTCTAGAAGATTGTGAGGATTGTTTACGCTCAGCCCCCCCGTTGTGATGGAGAGCCACGCAGCCCCGAGCCACCGACAGCCACCAGCCAGCCACGGGCGTGGCACTGCACGTGACGGTGACGAGGGTGGCGAGCGCCGTGCGTCGTGGCGTCTGCCCTCTGAGCTGTTCACGTTCACCTGTCTCAGGACGCACCACTCAGATTCACAATCCTCACTGAGGCATCATCATCACCCCACCCCCCAACTCCCAGCGCAGGATATAGTGGCTGAACGAAGGTTTTGTGAAACGAGTGCAACGGCGCCATGGAATCAGCGCTATAAAATGACAGCAGCCCCGCGTCCCAGTCCAGATGAACCCCGACTCTCCGCGGAGGCTCCGGCACCGACAGTGAGGTCTCTACCCCGTCATGCCGCACTGAGAAGCTGGCGCCACGTTTCTGTAGACACCAGGAGACGCCACTCACTCCCAGGATGCACTCAGCACCACGCCCTCTCCGTGGGATCGTCCCGTATACGACTCCAACCCGACACAGCCTCGCGCTCCCCACGTCCACCTCCCAGTAGTGCTGACCCGACGAGAAGCTCTCAGAGCACAGGGCTTGTGACCACCACTCAAAGCGGTGTGGGTGTTGTGGGGCGACCCTGGGGGTCATCGCTCCGCGTCACCGTCCTGAGATCCGACGAAATCTGGAGGCGGTCGTAGGCTGAGTTTGTGTCCAGAGTCGGTGAGCATCCATCTGTGGTGAGGACAGTGATGACACTCACACAGCGATCACGGCGACGTGTGCGCAGTAGCGGCACAAGCATTGCACGTGACGTGTACACACACATACGCTGGTGTTGTGTTGTCTATTGTGTTGTTGTGGTCATACCGCAGTACATGATACGTTGAAACGTAACGCTGTGATTGTCACACGTATAACAAATACATACAGGACTAGAATTAATTAATTTTACTGTACACATACTATTGTAGTAACATCGTGGGATGTCACTGTTCTGTGCCGGCCCTAGAGAGGCACGGCGTGCAATGTAACGACATCGCGGACACCACAATGTTATGGGTGTAGTACCGGCCCTAGAGGGGCTCGGTGAGCGCTGATTGATAGCGCTGGATGGCACCACGCTTTGGCGTGCAGTGCCAGCCCTACAGGATAGGGTGTGGGAGTGCTGGCCATAGAAATGGGGTTACTAAAGGCCGTGGCACTCTGGTTGATCCGAGAGGACACGTTACTAGTTAAGTCTACAAAGGGGCCCCAAGTGGGGGCAAGGGGTGATCACGTGATCCAGGTCCAGATCCTGCTCGAGGATTCTGGAAGGTGGCCGTGGCTAAGGGCAGAGCCAGCCACGCCACAGATAATATAAGCTGGGTCCCCAGAGGGACCAGCGTTGTTGTTCATCCTGAAGAAACCTTAGTCTAAATCTACATTCGACCGAGTCTCCAAAAGTGGACCTGGACCCGAGCTGTGGTCCGGTCTGTTGTACCTAGTTACGTTGTGACTAGTGTAGTAACTAGTGTGGTTAGCCTGGTGGTCACCACCATCGGTAATTAGTCTGTAAAGGGGCAGTTACCCCATGTGTTGGTGTAAATAAATGTGTTGCCTCCAAGAGTACGTCTGCGACTCAGTTGAACTCACTACACTAGTATTCGTTAGAATCTGTTTACACATACTAATATTCGTTAGTATCAGTGTACGCATACTAATATTCGTCATTATTAGTGTACACATACTAATATTCTTTAGTATTTGTGTACAAATAATAGTATTCGTTAGTATTTGTGTACATATACCAGTATTCGTTAGTATTAGTGTACATATGCTTATTTTCATTAGTTTTATTGTACACATACTAATATTAGTTAGTATAAGTGTACACATACTAATATTTATTAATTAGTGTACACATACTAATATTCGTGAGTATTAGTGTACACATACTAATATTCGTTAGGATTAGTGTACACACACTAATATTTGTTAGTGTCTGTACACACACTAGTATTCGTTAGAATTAGTGTACACATACTAATATTCGTTAGTATCTGTGTACACATACTAAAATTCGTTAGTATCTGTGTACACAAATTGTTAATCACTCGTGAATATTGTAATATAAATTTATAATAATTAGTGAATTATAACTAGTGAAAAAATAATGAATAAAAATAAATAATAGCAATAGTACTACACTGATATGACCATGGGTGTGTGTGCAGTGGTAGTGAACAGTGGTGATTATGCCAGCACCACGATGTTAACACCACTCTCACAGCGTCTCTCTACAAACACGACGCCTGTACAATAGCCACCACAGCCTCCCACACTCACATCCACGCACAGACATTGTGTGTCACAGCCTCGCACACTCTCACATCCACGCACAGACATTTTGTGCCACAGCCTCGCACACTCTCACATCCACGCACAGACATTGTGTGTCACTCCGCTGCTGGATGAGCGCCTCCCCGCGCCGTGCACGTCCTGGGGGGGTTATTTGACCATACTTCACCGCTCTCGTCTGTGCGCGTTGGCGATGGTGGGGTTTGTGAACGTTGCAGCGTAGATGTACAGTACAACAATGGTTCACGCTGCACTGCCCTCTGCTGGTGTGATGTTTAAACATTTGGCACGAGAGAGACAAAGGCGGCCGGGCTCGTGCTGGCCACCCACCCCCTCGTATTCCGTGCCGGACTTCATAGGTGCTGCTGCTCGCTGACAGCACTTGCCCTAACGGTCTATTAAGGCTACACCAGGGATCTTTGTATTTGCAGGAACTGTATGTACAGTGTTTCACTTTGTGTCACTATGTCTGTATTTATCAATGGGTTTACCCTCGATCCGCCTGATGTTATCTACCTCACCTGGTATGCAGGAGGTCGTGGGTTCGATCCCAATCCTGATGTCTGAGGTATATTTGGAGTTTGCTTCTCTCTCTGCTCGTGGACACGTATATTTTTTCCAGGTCCTACGGTTTTTCCCTCCACATTTAGAATCAACATCACGTGTTTAGAGTGATTTGCTGTTGAGTTATAATTTCTGGCAAGGTTACTTCTGAAGAAGAGCAATATAGCTAAGTGTGTCTTGACTGGTAAGGTATTTTTAATGTCCTAGTTTATACTCAGCCTTGGTTTATCAGAACGTTTATCTACAAACAGCAGGGACACACCAGTTTTCCGCTCCACATTCAGGCTCAGTGTCACGCGTTAAGCTAATTTGGCTGCTACTATAAATATCCACGTAATAATCCACTTCGCCGAGCGGTCATTTGTGGTCAGTTCCCTTCTGAAAAAGAGCTACATAGCTCAGTGGACTTTACCTGCTAATTTTTTTTTAAGATTTACGCCCCAAGGACACGCCACCTGTCTTAAACAAAGGGCAGCAGCCTACCGAGCCGGTGCCGGTCTGCATCGTTGTGTTTGTCATGAACGCTGCTGACAGAGATCAGTGCAGAGTGCAGAGAGAAACTCACACAAGAGGGCCACGCGCATCGTATTCACTCCTCCTAGTGAGATGGCCTCTGTGAGCTCTTGGGGACTAAATGTGGGAGGAGGCGCATCCTGGATTCCCTGCGCGTCCAAGATCCTGCACTCAGCACGGGACACGCAGAGTCTATGGAGGGTGCAGTCCCTCCACTCACACAGCACGGGACACGCAGAGTCTATGGAGGGTGCAGTCCCTCCACTCACACAGCACAGGACACGCAGAGTCTAATGCAGGTCCAATATGGGATACAACTCCATACAAATGGGTTTATTAGGAATCCCATCATGACCGTTCACTGATTTGTCCACCAGGTGGCAGACAGAGCTCGAGTTTGAGTCTGGATTTGTACTGACCTGAGATTCTCATGCAGGGGATCCTGAAAAACACAAACCCGCATTTCACATTAACATTGACATCCTAAACAGATGTCCACCTCCACGCAGTCGCCTGCCGCTTACAGTGGAGCAGAACATCAAGGAATTAAATTTCGATTTAAAGCTTTCGTGACTGCAGGGATTCATCTTCTTGGTTCTTTCGGTAAAGTCACGTAGAAGGTAATAAAATAATAAAAATAAATCATAATAAAATAATTCTCACGACGTTTCGGCCACAACGCAAGCAGCCGTCCTCAGTTGAAGAACATGTCTTTCGATAAGACAGAGTCTAAATGACACGTCTTAGGCTTGGAGTGTCTATTTAAGCTGTGATGGAGGAGGAAGAGAGCCTTGACAAAAGAATTTGCATATGAAGAGGAATTTAGCATATTTATGGGAAATGCAGGAATGCGAATAGTGCTAATTGTGAAATGCGTGGGAGGTGGGCGGGGGTTTTTCAAAGTAATATTATGTCCATGCATTATGCAGGATTAGCAGCATCAAAGGGAGGCGGCAGGGGCAGCACCAACAAAGGGAAGGAATGTGAATAGTATGCAGCTGCAGCAACCAAACAACCACGTAAAAAAACCAAAGTATAAACTACATAGTATCATCAGTATGCCAAATACACTCTCAATAATCATTGGAAGGACGTAATAAACCATTTCGGATCTTAACTGATTGTGTTCACGTTTATGGTGACTCTCAGACCGCGTTCCACTCACTGGCATTGTATTCTCTGCAGGGAATGGATTCTTTGCTTCGATACTCTCCCATTGTCATATTTCGTTGCTGCCTCTTAGTATCTTTCACACGACGGTCATTGGTACAGTGTATAATAACAAATAGTATAACATTTATATGCTTAATACAATGTACAAAGTAATATATAGTATCGTAATTGTATAGTGAATATATAGCAGTGTGATATACATTAGGGTGGGTAGAATAATACATAGTGTAATATAACAATGTATAAGGTTTAGGGTGGTTTATAGCAATACAGTATGTAATTTAATGTTGGGTTTGTCTATGGCAGTATATAGTACGGTGTAGACTCGTGTGATGTAAGAGAATAAAGTTTAGATGGAAGCATATTAAAACATTTTTACGACGTAGAATTGTAATGTATTACCCGTGTGATGTAAGGAAAAAGTTTAAAAAGTTTAGCTGGAAGCATATTATATTTTTTGCGACCTAGAATTGTAATGTATTACATACGGTTGGTAGCTCAGCTTATTGAGAGTGTATTTGGCATACTGATGATACTATGTAGTTTATACTTTAGTTTTTTTACGTGGTTGTTTGGTTGCTGCAGCTGCATACTATTCACATTCCTTCCCTTTGTTGGTGCTGCCCCTGCTGCCTCCCTTTGATGCTGCTAATCCTGCATAATGCATGGGCATAATATGACTTTGAAAACCCCCGCCCACCTCCCACGCATTTCACAATTAGCACTATTCGCATTCCTGCATTTCCTATAAATATGCTAAATTCCTCTTCATATGCAAATTCTTTTGTCAAGGCTCTCTTCCTCCTCCCTCACAGCTTAAATAGACACTCCAAGCCTAAGACGTGTCATTTAGACTCTGTCTTATCGACAGACATGTTCTTCAACTGAGGACGGCTGCTTGCGTTGTGGCCGAAACGTCGTGAGAATTATTTTATTATGATTTATTTTTATTATTTTATTACCTTCTACGTGACTTTACCGAAAGAACCAAGAAGATCAAGGAATTAATAAATACCAGCAAATCGAGAATGATGAAAAACACTGCTCAACCAGAGCTATTAATACTTTGATACTTGCATTGCCTTTGTAATGTTAAGCCTATTATTGTTCTTTAAAATAAAAAAAACAGGATTCGTTTAATGAGACACGAACCCCAACAAATGACAAAACCACTCTTTATAGGTCTAGCCTAGCAGCTAAATAAATGGTTAAGTCATGTTCAACAACTCGTGTTTTTGAACTCTGAATAAACTAAATTTAATATTTTACCAGGTATGGCCCACTTGGCTATGTCGCTCTTGTTCAGTAGCGAGCTGCCTATCACAAATGATAGCTCAACAAACTGGCTCATGTGGACATTTATAATAGCAGCCAACTACTTTGAATGGGTGATGTTGATTATAAATGTGGTGGGAAAACCCAGAGGACTTGGAAAAAAATCAACGCGATCACAGAGAGAGAGAGAGAGAGACGTCGACTCCAAATTTACAGCAGACATCCAAATTTACAGCAGACATCGTCAGGGTCGAACCCACGACCTCCTGCATAGCAGGCGAGGTAGATGGCGATGTTGTACTGGACAAGTCCAGGTCTGAATGTCACACGGAAGCAAACGCGCATCTATTTTCTGGACACCGCCGCTTGCTCCCAAATCGAAAAGCACTGAAATAAGATTGCCAACAATTTCAACGTCTCACAGGGTGGTGCGCCTCTGCTGGTTGTAGATAAACCCTCTGATAAACCAAGGCTATGAGTTTAAAATATAAACATAGTTTTTATACCTTACCAGGTAAGGCCCATTGAGCTATATAGCTTTGCTTCAGAAGTAACCTTGCCACAAATGATAACTCAAGAAAGTGGCTCATCATGTGTAAATTTATAGCAGCAAATTACTCTAAACGCGTGATGTTGATTCGAAATGTGGAGGGAAAAACCGGAGGACCGGGAAAAAAATCCACTTATGCACAAGGAGAGAGAGGCACAAACTCCGAATATACAGCAGACGTCAGGGTTGTTATAGAACCCACGACCTCCTGCATAGCAGGCGAGGTAGTTAACATCTCCTAGCCACCGCTGCGAGTGAATGGAGGTGGTGCCACCTGCAGGAAGGAGAGCGGGTCCTTCATGGCGAGGGCGGCGCGCAGCTGGTTGATCTCCTGCTCCAGGCCGCGTGCTCTGCTCTCGTAGCGAGCAATGTCCGCCTGGATGCGGGACAGCACGGAGCGGCCCTCCTCGTCCGCGCGCTCCAGCGCCTCCCTCTCCTCCTCCATCAGCTGCTCCCTTCGGCGCTCAAACTCTCTGCTGATCCGCGCCTTGATCCCACGCACAGACTCCTACGCAGACAGTGCCGAGTTGTTGAGTCACTTGTTATGCAACGACGCAATGTGGTGTCGTACAGGCAATGATTGTTACCATATCTCGATTATGCACAGTTGTACACGGAGGTGAGCGACGTGTGCATTGGGAGCTCGTGAACATATAAAGCACAGGGAGAATGAGAATGGGATATATAATATCCTATGCAAGGAGATTACAGAAAATACGTCTGTCTGTAGCTACACGTTGCTGAGTGTCTATTTGGTGAAAATGAAAAACATCTTCATGGATATTATTCACATCTGTCTGTCTGTCCATCCCACTCTGGATCTACCAAACGGTGCATGGGAAGAAAATGCGAATTAAACCTAAACAATTCTCTTGCCGAGGTCATTCCCAGAAAAGTGTGTCAAAGTTTCTGCGAATATACAGAACAAAAAACGTCACATTGCTCTTGTTTTAAATAAAAATGTGCTGAAAGAGTCAAACAATGCTAATTTCGAAGGCAATACTCACGTCCACTCTCCCGGGTACTCAGGCTAAGTTGATGTGGTTCAGATTTGGGGAAGCCAGAAGGGAGGAATTGCAACATTCCATAGCAAGCATCGTGGTTGTGATCAATAAAGGAATCGACAGGGCAAGTCGCCAACGCATCGTCCAGCGTGGATCGATTCTGCCCCCCAAACCAAAACTGCTGTCATCCTGGAAGTTGCGTCATAAATGAAGTTTCTGTGTCATACCGTGGTGGCCTTCTATTCATGTAGTAAACATGTTTTGCAAATCTGGTCGTCCTAAACCGGTTGTAATGTTTCCCACATTTTTTTCCTGATATGTAAAAATACACAAAAGCAATACATTTAATTGAAGATTAAAATTTCATGAAGCTTATGCGCTCAAAAAATGGGCTTTAAAAAAGTGCTGAACTCACACTTTGCTCCGTTACAGTTTGATGTCGTTGATTTTGTTGATTTAAAGTAGGCAGCAAGCGAGTTGTCATTGGGAAAAGATTCGCTTGAAATCACCGAAGTTATATCCCATGCCAAAGTGTGTGTCAGTACTCGTCAATGATAAGAGCGAAGTTTAATGAAATACAATTCGTAGGCAAACCAGAAGAGGGATTTGTGCGGCTGCCATCTCTCTCTGTACCTCCACGCGCCAGAAGTCGTCCCTGAGGGTCCGTGTCCGTGACGCCGCCGTGTTCCTCTTCTCCTCTCTACCCTCCTTTCTGACTCTGAGCTCCTCCTGCATGTGGTAGATAAATTAATAAATACGCGGTGCTCGCCAATGCCATTGGTGGATCACTGATAGATCATCCCGTTTCTCTGATTAGCACGGTTTGCTACAATACAAGTTCAACACACATACACACATCTGTTGTCATTATATTTCTGCGTACGTCTCCATTAATATTTTTACTTTCCCCACAATTGTATCCCGACTGCACTGTCCCTGTCATGTATTGAGACGAATAATCCAATGAGAACTACCGTGGAGAAATGCAATATCTTGTTAGATAACATTATCGACAAAATATCACGTACATGCTTAATTATGTTTTAAGCCTCTTCCAGCGATGGGTGTAGCAGCTTCTCACACGCCCTGCTATACATAGCAACGTTTCTCACTTATTCAAACTAAGATTTTGAATTCTCACCCAAAATATTATTTAACGTGCTGTCAAATGTTGACTCAGCTTAGACCATCAACTCACTAAACTTGAGAATCCGGTTTAAACAATGGGCGGCCGACTAGATTCCAACTCAGAATTACAGCGTTACCATCTCAATGTTCTGACGTCTGAGCCACCCTGCCACCTCTACCTATGTCTCCCTGTAAAGGGAGGTTTGGTATTAACAGGAGCTCACCTGGTCGAAGTGAGGGGTCACGACCTACTGATGTGAATCTCTCAACCTCCTGTAACAATGGGGATTACAATGGAACATGACACTTCACCTGTCTTGTCTGTTGCGCTCTTTCCACTGTGATGACTCTGTGCCCGGAGTGGTCCCCAGTGACGGCACAGACTAGGCAGACCGGGATCTCATCCTGTTCACAGTAAAGAATGAGCTCCTGTCTGTGCTCGCTGCACCGTCGCTCCTCCAGGTTCGCAGTGGGAGCCACCAGGACGTGGTCTCTCAGCCTGGGATTCTCCAAGTGAGGCCTTGCGTGCCTCGCACAGTAGGACATCTCACATCTCAGGCAGGTCTTCGCTGCAGAAGTTTGGCCATCACTGCAGTTGTCACACACGACGGCCGCGGCCATCCCGTCTCCAACTCTGAGCTGCTCCGCCAGGTTGGCGAGGGCCACGTTCCTCCTCAGCTGGGGTCGCACAGGGAAGGTCGCTCGGCACTGCGGGCAGCTGAAGCTGCTCGCCGTCTCCCAGGCGGCCTCCAGGCACCGGAGGCAGAACGAGTGTCCGCAGCTCATCGTGGAGGGGCAGACGAATGTGCCCAGGCAGATGGTGCAGCGCAGCTCACTATCCACACTCTCACTGGGAGTCGCGCTCACCGTGACCCATGACTTCGCTGGGATCGCTCGCTGTGTGGCTCAGAGAGACGCTGGACCAGGACGTCTCTCTTATAGCGACGGTGAAGGAAATAGAATGTTTAAAATATTTTCATTGTCGTCACTGACATCACGAGTCACTGCCTGGAATGTGAACCTGCGCCCCGAGGTGCACAAACAGCAGCCTCAAGGTGAACACGGCTACTGTACACACCTTGACATTTAAAGAAATGAGTGCTGTTAATATAAATTGGTGAGGCTGAGCTGCGGTGGCTCATTCGTGCGATGAGTGTCGAGAGATAAACTCATCCTTCTACAGCAAGTTGGTATCAAGATGTGATCTCCCTCGCCTGGTATACAGGAGGTGGTGGGTTTGATCCCTACCCTGACGCCTGCTCTATATTGAATTAAAGTTTGCGTCTCTCTCTCTCTCCATGGTCGCGTGAATTTGTATCCCGGTCCTCCGGTTTTTTCCCCTCTGCATTTACAATCAACATCACGCGTTCAGAGTAATTGGCTGCAATACATTGTAACGTGATAAGCCATCATTTGTGGCCAGGTAGTTTCTGAAAATGAGCCAAATTGCTCAGTGAGCCTTGCGTGGTTAAACAAAATAAATAGTTGGTATAGTTGTAGATATCTCATGATGTCCTGTAACTCCATCTCCGTGTAAATACCCCAACGTGACGAGTTACTTGAATGTCATTGTGGCATCCGAGATGGAATTTTTCTGTAGCCTCCCGTGACCCATCCTGGAATCTTGAACCTTTTGCTAGCAGTGTGAATCTATCACCAACTCTACCTGCCTCCATCACCCACTGCTGGGGATGTCTCCGTCTCTCACCTTGTCCGAGACTGCAGATTCCCGTGCCGACCATTCACAGCCGCACCCACCGCTTACTTCACCTGCGTTGTTGTTTCGCATTCACACATACGGCTACTCAACACCCATGCTCACACACTCACTCACACACTCACTCACACACTCACTCACACACTCACACACGGGCCTACGGTCTGTCTCTCTCTTTCTCACGCCCCTCTTGTATAAAGCCGTCTATGTCCCGTCTGGAAACTCCAGGCCATGAATCTGTGTGTCTCTAGTCTGTGTGTCTCTAGTTTGTGTGTTTATAGTCTGTATATCTCTATAAAAAGTCCTCTGTGTCCCGTCTGTGTTGGATATATGCCGTTTCCAAAAATGAATATTAAAAGAAATATTATCTATTTTAACGTAACATATTTGCTCTACATTAGTCTGGATTTAGCGCGTTCTAAAAAAAACGCGTAATACGAAATATACATTCTCCACGACCAGAATAAAATGTATTCCAGGGGTATAATCGGAGCCTGCTCAACCGCCTTTGTCTTCCCAGTGACTGTCATTGCATGCTGCAGCAGGAATTCATATTAAGGATGAGTCGACCTAAAGAGGGGGGAAGGCCGTATCACAATAAACAAGGCTACAGACACACACCACACCAGGGACAATTAGGAACATCTGCGCTCACACAATCTTGGGATGACCTCTGGAGGGAGGGAGGGGAGTTTTAGAGGGGTCATGACATCAGGTGTCAGGATGTCCAGGCAGCCAGAACAAAGGGGCAACTCAGCTGATCAGATCAATGCAAGGGGCGTGATAGGAGGACGAGCTTTTGGCTTTTGATGTGTCTTAGGGAAGAAGTCCCTATATGACAATTTATGACAATCAGACAAGTCAGTCTTGCAGAGGCTAATTCCGGGGTATGGTCCTCGAAACCAATCATAAGTGTCGAGTCTTGCAGAGGCAAATGCTCTGTGTTGCTAAGTGTTGAATTCTGCGTTGTCAGACTCTGAGTTTCGCTGACAGTTTTATTCTACGTTTTTCCTTAATGTTTTGAGTCACTTGCAGAGTCGAGGACTTCGAGAAGTTGTACTGTACTAAGCTAAGAGTTGTGAAAAGCTAAGAGGTGTGAGAAGTTAAGTGGAGATTTTAGTTATATACCAATATCGAGAATGCTTACCACGAGCTCTCAATACTCTGATATTGCACTGTGTTTGAGTTGTACGCCTTCTGGTGTCATCTGGTCCAACACCAATGGGGACTAGACTCTAAAGAAAGCCGTCTCAGGTGTGGACCAATCAACTTCAAGGACAGTGCATATTATTATCATTATCAGAGTTGCTTCTTTTTGTTTGCTTTTTTGACTACTTGTGTTGTGGTTATTGCAAACATGATGCCTTGAATAAAGGTGTCAGTTTTGTACCAGTTTAAAAGGGTAAAAACCTACTACAATGCATGCAATGTTGTCCAAGCTATAGGCTGGACAAGTTATGTTGACCACGTGACTGATACCCTGATGACAAGAGTCTTGATAAGTTCTGGAGAGAGCGAGGAGCAGTGAGACAACGGCGCACAGCAGGAGACCTTCCGAGGGAGGGGAGGGGGGGCACCAAGGGTGCTCGCGCGAAGCAGGCAGCTGCTGACAAGGAACGAGGAGCAGCGTGGCCACAGAGCACTGCAACTGCCGATGGAGCCTGGCGTGCAGATCACCTGCAAGCCGTGCAGCGCAGCAGCTAGCGGATGACCACGAGCGTGCCGACTCGGGAGCCCCGAGCACCCTCCAGCATGGAGCGAGCACGATGCACAGACAACGGTGCGATGGAGCGGCGAGCAGCAGGGCCGCGAGCGCACTGCAATTGTGGACCAAGCCTGCCGTGCTGCAACTTCGTTGTGGGACTTGAGGTGTTGGTCAGAAAGAAGAAAGGAGGAGAAACATGAACTTGACACTCACTCACTGTTTGTAACCGTACCTTGTACAGGTTGTGGGCTAATAAGAATCTCAGCTTGCACGCCTCACACACCACAACAAGGGAATTGTGTGTGGTCGAGGTACCATGAAACAGTCGATTGTTTAATTTTAACCCACATGACTGCATGAATACGATAATTTTGATATTAGCGGTTTGTTTTCTTTCAATCGTATAACATTGCAAATCTGATCGTTGATGCCTTTTAAACATTTGATAAGGATACTGTTTTTGAACACGTATGCTGACATTGATACTGTTGTTGTGGGTTCGCCTGTAAATATTATTTAATCACGTGATCGTAAGATCCGATTGTTGATGCTTCTAAACATTTGATACACATTTTAGGACACGCTTTCCGTACGAATATTGTTATTTTAGGATCTGCCTATTGTGTTTTTATCACGTGATCGTGAATATTAGCCAATACTTCTTTTTTATCATTCAATATGGATTGATGAGTAGGTATATTTGCATGGGTACTGTCGTTGCTATTATTTCCTGCTGATAAGAGTTCTGGATATTAGAATATGTTGATATTAAAGTAGCTTAGATTAAAACCAGGTTTCCGTTTGCTTCTTTCCTTTCTCATGCATCATTGTTGTAATGACGAGCTGTCTCCTGCGGTGAGATCTGAATCCCGAGACCTGACGTAATTACACGCGTAATTGTTAAAGCGAGAATCATGAATGTTAAAGCGATCATAAAATCAGAGAGAGAATCATTGATATTATCACGATCGGTGAAACAAACACCTAGACGACGAGAGAGCCAATGCTAATAATGTAATAGCACCACGTGATAACTGCACACACAAACACATAATCACTAACACACAATCACACTCACATACCCCTCGACAACGAGAGAGCCAATAATTATTGCACTACGTAATAATATTAACGCACACAAAATCATACGTCAATACCCCTACACAATGATATCGCACAAAACATAATGACACGTACATGCCCCTAGACAACACAGAATCACAAATACACATTAATCATTAAAAAAAATACACAGAGATTCCTAATTACACTTAACAAACATTTTTTGTCAATCCCAATTAATTACATACTTTAACATATTTTACGTAATTTTAGTTTCTGTAATATATTATTTTATCAATATTTTTTTAATATATTCTTTAAATGACAATATATTCAACACCAGTCACCAGACATCTGGACCACCATGATTCACGCAATGGGATGGCCCCCGCAACGTTGACAGCAGTGGTTCTTAACGTTGACTGCAGCCTTGCACTCCTTTGGTTCTCAATATTAAAATGAATAAAAATGTTAATACATATGTAATAAACCTTCTCGAGACGGCTCTTGGAATCAGTTCTTTATTTTTCACTTCCACAGTTACACGCACTCCCCGTTGCTGACAGGCAACGGGAAGCGGGCAGACAATCAACTCAGTCACCCACGCACGTGGCGCTCAGAGCCCGCACGCGCATGGCTCCTGCTCTCTTCATTCCCAGGTCTGCTCCCGACTTCCTCGTCTCTCTCCCTCTTCATCCCTCGGTCACGTGGTACCCCCAAGCCAATCATCCGTAGTCCGCCCAGCCCGTTCCAGATCATTCCCCGTCAATGCCGGGACCACGCCTCTGATCCAGCTTCCCATTAGCTGAGACTCAACTTGGCCAAGCCAATGACCCTAGCTAACGTGCCGTGATCACGCCGAGGCCATGCTCCCTGTCTCTCCCCTTATTGGCTACACAGCGGGACCGGCAAGCCAATCGCCACGTAAGCCCTACATGGCTCTTATTACATCACCCCCCCCCCCCCCCCCCCCAGTGAAAAAAATCAGCCGACTCGGCTGGGAAAAGGGGCGATCAACCGATTCCATAAAAAAACGTATTAGGGCACCGAGGCGCATTAACAACGAGGGGTGAAACGGCGTTCCTGCGCCGCACAACACTTAACAAAATCACCCATGAACAATCAGTACAATCAGACATACATTAGGGCGCCCCTGCAGCGCGGTAACGACAGGGAAGGATTAGCGAGACACTCAAACGCTAACGAAATGGAAGAGATTTGGATCGCGTGCGCGACGCGGGGCCCTCTCCGCTTCCTGCGCATGGTCGCCTCGTCGCCGGTGTGACAGGAGGGGGTAGGCGTGAAGAAGAAGATTGGTCGTTTTCGGTCATGTCCAGGCCAGGTCCCGTTGAGGGGGGGGGCCTCAGGGGCTTTTCCAGCCCTCAGAACCTGTTCATCTGCAGGAGGCACAC